AACGAATCTCTTACGGTAAATTTATCAGAAACCGATCGTCTGAGTCAGCTGGGGACAATACTTTGACATCGTCGGGTAATATATGCCCGATGCTAACTGCCGTATCCAATAAGAGGGCTAGAGAAGAAGTTAACGAATGGCCGAAGAGATATGATCGTCGGATAAAAAGTTCCGCCGGGGGACGATGGGTCTCCATCTCGTCGCGTAAAAAAGCCGCGGTATTCAATAAAAGCGGAATAATTAACGCCATCGTAGCACGTGTGCCCGGTGATAAATCTCCAAGTTATATTGGCGTCCGGGAACTATGCGGATGCCCAAACGGAGTTTAACTTTAACGATTAACGCGCCAACGTGACTATTCGCTTTCGACCGAATGAGATCGGGATCGAGTCGTCAAGCCCCCACGAAAAGGGTATAATTATTACGTGTGGCTTGTAGCGAGCAAGGGAAGGAACGTAAGCGGATTGCGCGGCCGAGTAACGACGTTACGGAGACGGCAAACGTGGAAATAATGAGATGCCCGCTGAAAGCGTCGATGTAACCAAGCGCGAAATAATTTTATTTTACGATCGAGATTCGTATGAGTTATTTCTCATGTGTTAGAAGGCGTGCGATATTTGTTTTATTGTGGTTTTATTCAACTACACATTAATTAAATTAAAACATATATAATACATATGTGATTCTGTTTTTGTGCAAAATATCTCTAATATGAAAATATTGAAATATTGTATAATTTAATTATGGTAAACACAATTATTATTCTGCGTGTGTTTGATCCTACAAATATTATTCGCTGGAAGGTTTCGTGCATAGATACAGTGTCGGGGAATTACGGGGGGCTCATTTATGCGAGTGAAGCCTAAGCAGAGCTGATACTGCACTGCGGAAAGTATACAAACTCCGAACTATCACGTCGCATGTCATTACCCCAACCAGTTAGCGATGAGCAGCGTATGATTAACGGGGCGATAATCCTGTTTAGAAATTCTTTGGTAGTCTGCGAGCGCGTAATTACTGATTTTAATGAGCTTGCTATAAGTGACTAAAGACTAAAGCTTCCTTTGAAGGCTTGAGGCATGCTTCCGCATTCTCATCCTCTCCATGTCTGCTTCCCATGAGTACACAGCCTCGTTTCTTCCGCTACAACAAATGTATCGAGATGCAAATGCGATATTATCCTCTTATCTCCGCCATCTAATGTAGCTGGGATATTGTATTCCCAAAAGAACCGAGAGACCGCGAAAAATAACGGCCGAGATCCATTAAATCCCCGTACCGAACCTTTATCAGGATGATAGCTTTTTTTATTCAAGATGCTAAATATGTTAGAACGGAAAAGTTGGTCACGTCTGCCAGAAAATGGAAATAAAAATACACACATCTATCTATCTATATACATGTATAAACAAATGTCCTGACTGACTGACTCAGTACTTTTCGTTTACAAATCAATTTATTAGATATTATATTAGGTACGCGTTACCACGCTGTTATTGGCCTAGTTTACATTAGATCACTTGATACGCGTATTAAATAGTAAATAATTAGTAAATTAGTTTAATTATTGGCTGATCAGCTCAAATATACTATTTGATACGCGTATCAAGAGATTGGTGTAAACTAGGCCATTGCCGCAGGTGCGAACGCATTATGCGGAACAAATATTACGGTAACGAGCGTCTGACATGTCGCGACTTTTACGAACGTAGTGGAAGTTTAGGTTTGACAGTGCACCAGGCTGATTTCCGTTGCTTACACGCTCGCTCTTCTCCGGCATCGTGAAACTTAACAGGCACTCGTCTGTAAGCTCGCATACGCTCGCTATACGTGTGTACCTGAAATTCTGTATTGCGTGCTTGTACGAGCAAACAGCGACTACGACGTTATTAATTAAGTGGAATATGGAAAAACGGCTGGTTTTAATATTTACGCGGAAAATAAGCAAATTTCAAACAAACCCTTAAGTGGTACGGTAAAAATTAGCAAACACAAGTAAATAAATAATTCAGTCAAATTGTATCTTGTCACAAATGGAACGATCAAAAAGGCACAATTTTCCCTTTTAATGTATATTTTTAATTGATAAAGGGGAGTTTATCTATAAAAGCAATCGAATTTGATAAAAATAAAATAGATATATAAACAAAGTTATAAATACTGCTTAGTGTATGTGCGAATGAGAATGATTTTGTTAGGTATAATAACTACAATTATCCGCAAATGACAGTGGTGCGTAATATACGCGGAAATCCATAATATATCGTATCAATAATTATTATTAATTGCACAAGCTAAATAGTTTACAATATTATTTCAACAAACAAGCAATTGGCATTAAAATACTGTTATTTGCCAGAGTAATTCTTTGAATATGGTAAGATTTAATGGCCGATTAACTCACCATTAACAAACACGCGGCTACAAATTGTTACGCACACACAACATGCTCCGCTAATTACTCTGAATTAAGGTGCATTCGTGACAGGATAGTAGAAAGCAGCCTGATGCTCGCCGGAGTAGCGAAACACATAACACGATCACTTTTGTCGGTCCTTCCTGTCTCTCTTTAGAGTCGTGGTGCACATCGATCGATATCAGGAAATTAAGTGGTCAGAACACAGCGTCGGAAATTAAGTCTAAACTTTAGTATGCATTTAAATAAACCAATTAATTATAATTATTTTTTAGGTATTATAAATTTCATTGTGCAGCGAGAGTCTCGTTAAATAATTATCTCTCTTAGTTGCGACACCCTCTGAAAAATTTTCTTTTTATAATAATTTTATAATAATAATTTCAGTAAGTTATTACTATTTCCGATGATTTTTTTTTATAGCAACGCCGTTTTTTTTTTTTAAACGGAACCTAGTGCAATGATTGTAGCTGCTGTATAATTGGCACGAATTAACCGGTTCTATGTTTTAAGTCAAACGGCGAAACGTGCTCTTCTCCTTTGCGAAATGAGACGTATATACCTGGCAGAGTTACATTCTGTAGCCATTTCATAGACGCTCGCACTCTAGCTTTATATACGTCATAAACGAAACGTCTCGTCTCGTGAAATCTTGAATAAAGGAAATGGACGTTCGGAGCAAGGACTGTGCTTTTAACCAAAAACCTAATTTATCCAAAAGATTATATACGTAGATACACACACAAATACATAATGAATCTAGAATTTACTGTTGATATAATCAATCGTATACTAAATTGTATGCTTTTTACCTAAATTTAGTTTGACAAAAGCAAACAATATAATAAATAATTCTGCAGCAATTTATACAGTTAAAGAGAAAATTGCTAGAAAATTCAAATTTACATTCGAGTGCACAGAACATCTGTTTATGATGTATGACTTTTCTAATGAGTTTTATTGTAATTGCTTCTATCTAAATAAAATATCTGTGTATATATGAATAAGAGAGTACAAAATTTTTTGCTTTGAGTATATTTACATGAAATTTCCTGCGCTATGGTTGTTTATGTGGCATTTTAAAAAGTTTATATATATATATATATATATATTTATATTTACAGAATATTACTTGCGTTAAACGGAGAAAGAGGCAAAAATCACGAGAAATTAGATATTATTAGTTTTATATGCAAAAAAAGAAACGTTATACGTTTAACGTTTATAAAATTTAATTCTAATTTGATTCCATTTTTGAAATTAAAATGTCCGCAATGTTCTCTTCCACTACTCCATCTCTTCGGTCCACAACAACTTCATTATCGCAACCGTTTCGTTGTTACTCATTTCCTCTAACTTCCTTTCCCACCTTTGAGCATGTATGCATACATCACACTGGAGAATTTAAAAATAACAGTTGGACAAAACTATACACAATAGTGTCCTTTAAAATGCATTCAGCACCTGGCAAAATGCAGAAAATAAACTCTACTCTCTTGCTCGTCGAGAAGTAAGAGAAGCCCATCCGTTTTAATGTGATTTGCTTGTTACATTATACATTATACCAGAAAGAAACTAAAAAAATCTCAATTCTTATTCTGTAAGTGTCGAGATTATTCTTGAAAATCTTAAAGAGTTAAAGCTTAAAAATTTTCAACATGCGACGTACTTTTAATAATAATAGCTTTTTATAACACATTGGCATCGTTTATAAATCTCTCGACAAATCGACAAACACGGAATGTGCATTATCACCGTCGTAAATTCCGTAACGCGCGATCGTGTTACGGTTAGTCATGTCTTAGCGCGGAGTGACAAATAATTCCAGCCCTTCAATTGCTGCCTCCAGGCGCGCCACGGTATATCAAACGTTCGAATGTATGCCCGCGTGAAACGGAATCCTTGAATAACCGCGCGAGTGATATTAGAGGTAGGGACGACGCTTAAGCGACGGTCGTAAACGTGTATCTATCTTCGTCCGCCCATCCCTATTTCTACCCCTCGCAGGAATAAATCCACGTCCGTCTAGCTGCGAACTAGCAGAAACAAACGCGTGATAAATGCATTTGGGGGAGAGAACAGGACCCGTGCGGAAAGCGAAGCAACGTTTTGGATATATGTACATGTACGTATATATATGTGTGTACATATGAGGGTGTTGGCTAACGTCGGTTTTGATAGAGATGCTGAGTAATTCAACAAAATTATGTTATTTATAAACTAGAAAACTAGATGACGCATTGCACAAGCCCCGTTACTTCTCGACAAATGTTTCGTTAGTTTCGCTATTAATTTTGATACGTCAACGAGGCGGATTTGATAGAAACGTAATTTAAAGAATATTTCAAGTTGATATTTTAAAAATACATGAGAAGCTGCGAGGGACACATCACTCGCATTAATTATGTAAAACTTAATACTAATGAAAAAAGTTTTGCTGCGCGCGGCATCAGAATTTGAAAAATTTAATTAAATCATTTAGACTCTTTTCGCCGACTGATGCTCTCTCACGCTCTCTCACGTGTATCGTCGTTCGCTTTCAACACTCGTAATACGATAAAAGGGTGAAAAAAAAGGGCGCGTCTAATTTGCATAGACTTTATTTTTATCTTTTTTTGCTTTTTACATTTGCTTCCTACAATCTAGTTCCCTTAATGCAAAAAACGAGAGAAAGAAGACGGGAAAAGCTTCGCTTGAACGTTCGGGACACGTCTTTGTTCCCGTTTTCACGCAAAAATACAATTTGTTAAGCGGTACTCATTGCCCGTGGATGCGCAAAATTATGAAATCGTAAATAAAACTGCTTCTACAAGATCGTTCAAGAGAATATTCAAACGCGCGGCTTACAAGAGCTCTTTTTCATAACAAAACATTTATAAAATTAAAATAAAAATAGCAATATATGTCAATTCATTTACATAGATAACTCGCTAGATGTATTTATATTAGCGGCTGTTGAAATAAAGCGGCTAAGAGAGGGAAAATATTTGAGTACAAAAATATCTATAAAATATTTCAAGATTAAAGAAGATAAGTTGTACAAGATAGTCGCAATTCCAGTAAAATTTAACCATCAGAGAACCAGCGAGAATCCATTTCGCGGTATCATGTGGGAATTTTGGTGATTAAAACGCACAAGATTCTGCATTCCTGAACACGAAAAATCTCTCTCTCTCTTTCTCTCTCTTGTCCCTCGGATAATCTTTTGTCATTGAGATATGGAAATAGCGTTTCGCCTACCTCCGGCTTTTTATCCGCCCCCGTCCCACCGTCGTCATTCTAACGCTCGCCATCCGAGGATATGGATTATGATGGGAAACGTGTCGCGCTTCCACGCAATCAGTCGCGATTCTACGACGGATATTACAGGATCGTTACTGGGAAATGTGCGGTAGGAGAAGCTGAAATTCTCGGCGGAGGTGTACGAGCGATCCGCGTTTGGTCGGCCGGTCAATCATCGGGATCAGGCGAAGGTGAGGGTGTTGCTCATACTTCCGGATCGCACTCGCGGCTGCACGGTGTCCGTATGACGGATGTTGATCTGCGCGACTGCCATATTGCCGGTCAGAAATTGGGCCAGGGTCTCCACGCCAGCGCGGGGTCTACGATCGAACGGATAGCCCATCGGCCGCGCGTCTGGATACTTGCGGTCCCGCAGGCCGCAGAAACTCACCGCGTCCTTGCATCCGGCCGATTCGTCCTGCTCCACCTGTACGCGTCGCCGCGAGATGACAAAAAGCAATTAATTTAGCATGTTGTCCTCTTTTACTTTTCTTTTTCTCTCCCCTCCCCTCCTTCTCCCCTTGCCTTTTGCTTTTTTGTCCGGAAGCGGAGTAACGCGAACGCCTTCTCGTGTACCGGGACGTCGCCGTTAAAAGAGTGGAAAAAAGGGAGGGGCAAGAGGTGTGAGGGAAGGAAGGTTTCCATCACCTGGCAGATTGTAAGCTCTTAAGCGCCGCGAGAGCCCGATAAGTATAAAAAGTACTCACCGCGTCACCGGTGTAATCGGATATCATGATGAAGAGGTCCATCGGGAATCCCTCCTCCTTGCCCTTAGGTACCAGCATGTGCTGCGGCCAGCCACACCCGCAGAAGTTGAACTGGTCCAGGCTATCGCCGCCGATTGGCCTGTTCTCTTCGAGATTGCGGAACGTCCTTTCGAACGGTATAGTTACCGAAGATTCCGTTGATTTACGCTCGATAGTATTCGATCCCGGCTTCACTGGAGGCGGGCGCGAACGAAAATTTCGTGAAATACAACACAAATAGTATAAAACACCTCTTCCACGTAATTGTTCTTTTACCTTTTAAAATCGAAAAATGCGTATATATTTTAAGAATTATATGTACGTGTAAATTTGAATTAGAGTAACGAAAATCACATTTTTTTCTTGCTTTTTTTGATTCTTACGTGTCAAAAAATAAATTATATTTTCTAAAACATTGTAATCGTTAGAGTTAACATAACGAAGAAGCTATTGTTTTAAATATATTACTTTAGAATCACATTGAATCTGAAAATAGGAATTTTAGTGTTGAAATTACAATGACGACTTACGTAATACAGTGAACTTGTCCATCTCGATCATGAGCTCCTTCTGGTCCCTGAGGACGTAGGGCAATCCACGTTCGTCCGTCCTGGGCGCGATGAATATACGAACGGTCCCTCGTACCGGTGCGTTGTTACGATTGTTGGCGACGATTCTGTATGTGAAGTCGGCATGATTCAGATGGGTGAATCTTGCGAGAACTGGACCGCGAGGCGTGAAGTCCAGACCGCGGGACAGATCAACATCGCTCTTGGTCCAGAAGGTCGAAATCAAATTCGCCGGCTGATTCGGAGTCTGCACTGCTATGTCCGTGATTTCTACGCCGGGGAAGTCTAACTGAAATTCCGTGAACGAACGAAAGAAGGCAATTAAATACCATCATTTTCTTTCAGTCAGACTCGGTGATAAATTTTTCCTTGTAAAATTTCTTTAAAAAAATTCAAGCCAGAGCTTAATTAAGAAACGCATTAAAAAGGGAGGTAATTTAGAATGAAAAAAATTAAGAATGTGAAGAAGTCGTGAAACTGATTCCAAAAGAGTTTTATTCCAACATTAGAACGGCTATTTAATTACCAAGATATTTAAATAGAATGTTGAGATCTACTAAATTGTATTAGTGAGATTTGATTAAAATGTCTTAATTAAATTACATTGATTAAATTTCTACTTAGAAAATGTCGAATTTTAAAGATTTCCTCGAAGAGATTGCGGTAAAAGAGCTCGAGTAATCCTGTGTATTACTCGCGAATATAGAGGAAAATTAAAGCCTCATTTGTCGAGTTTTAGCATTTAACGATATTGCTCGGCATCCAGGCAAAAAGACTGATAAATTCCGACACGTTCCAGCGGTCTCGTTGGGTTAAATGGTTTAACGGACGTTTTTATCGTCGAGTGGCTTCGCGTAATTCTGGGCCACATGGTACGTGTACTTAGCGGCATTATATACTAGGGTGAACCGATGATATATCGTGGAAGCGAGACAGCTGTGTACACCCACCTGCTGTAGGCTGTACTCGGGAAGTGTATTCTTGTGCTCCAGGAACACATCGTCAGTGAAAGCGTGGAATCTGTAGAAGATGGGATCTCTCATGGCGGTAGCCGGTTCTCCCATGATACTAAAAGTTTCCTACAGGAGCATAACAAAAATTCCTTTTTATCATTTCAATATAGCATCATTATTCGCATTAATTTAAAAAAAAATGGAAAATAGGGGCGTGCTCGAAAGTGCGTTTTATTTTTCGACCGGAGACGCTTTGTGTTAAAAACAAGACGGGAGTGACGGTTAGTATAACGCGCACGATTAGAGGGAAGTTTATTTAATGTCAAAAATTAAAAATTTTTAATAAAAATTCTTGAAATGTTTATTTTATCGATTTGGGCAATTATCAATAGCGATTGCATATCCCATTACCAAGTAGCGATGATCAGGATCGTGGCAGTAAGATATGGCAACGTGACCGAGATTGTGAAGGTCCCCGTATACATTCTGGTTAGGTGAGAGGATGCTGGCCTCCATGATGTTACCAAGCACGTCCACGCCGCCGAACTCGGTCAAAGGCACCCTCTCGCCGCGGGGGTTGATGTAGGCGCCGGTGTGAATGGCCTCGTAGATACGATCGCGCCATCTCTCCAGGTCCTGAAGGTCGAAGTTCAGTTGATCCACAGGACGGTTGATATCTTTGAGAACGGCGCCGGCGGGGCGGGCGGGCCAAGTGCGACTGGCCACCAACGAATCTAACTTGGAGAAATAACCCTCCGGGATTGGCTCGCGCCAATTGTGGAAGCGCTTCACTCGGCCCAATCGGTTGCACAGACGCTCGCAATTGTATCTGCGTAAAGAGAAATCAACCGAAACCTGAATAATAACACAGGGACCGCGGAAATTCCCATCGGTAGCGCCCCAGGCCATATCCGGATGTGCGCCGCGGTATTTCGACATAAATCGATGACGAAGACTCTTATATGTATATTGGAAAGTAGGAAACACAATATAGCAAGTAGAGATTTATTGATAGATGCATAGTTTTTAAATAATTAACAATAATAGGTAGGGAATAATAATAGTTTTTATTAATTAAAATAAAATAACGGAACGTCGGTTTTCCTACTATTACAGATTACAAATTTTAAAGAGATCTCTTTCGAGTTTAAAAATAATTCCTCGTAATACCTCTTCATTTGCATCGTTCCCATTTTCCCAGTGTATTCTCATAAGTGTTACAATAGACATTTAAATTTATATTTATTTCCGAAATGCATTTGCGTAATAATTTTGCTTCGTTGTTCTGCGCGCAAATGCATTTCCGAGCTCGTTAGCAAACATTGTTCGAATACTATGCAGAATTGAGACGAGTTGCCGCGCGATAATAACGATCGAGATCAAAATGTGATCCGGTCGCTTATAACACCCGCGTGATCTCGTCGCACGGCAGAATATAGGGTATCCAATCTTATCGACTTACGAACGCTCGCTGGTGCACTTACCTGGCTTGGATCTGATGGTGCATATAGTAGAATAGCTCGCCACGCCGATCCTTGTTAACAATCCTGATGTCGGTCTCGAACGGATAGACCAGATGCCAGTGCCAGTGATGAAGATTGATCCCGATATCTTCCCTCCAATAAGCCACGCGATGTTCCTCGTCAAGATCCGACGCAGTATAATCTCGCGGAATTTCGATAGGCACCTACGAATTGCGAGGATGACGAGACGATAAAACGAGTAAAAACGACGAGGACTTTCGCGTTGGAAATTAATATAAAGCTCTCGTTGGATCAGCTTATCTCCCAAATTTACGTGTTATAACAATTTACAATCTAACTCTCCGGTTAAAAGGCAGTTAACGTTGAAAATTGTTGGAATACTATACAAATTCAATAGCACGATCTAAAATATCTAAATTGCGGTCAAGTTACACTAAACGTTCCATTAAGCTTTTGTATTACGGCGAATTGTATACGAAACAGCTCTCAACCACGTTTACATAATTTACGTTGCCCATCATTCGACTCGCGCTCAAAGAATGAGCCAGCTAATTAAGCTGCATAATTGAGTAACGAGCCTGTTGGTAATTAATGCGTCAGAGAACAAGTACCCTGGAGCCAGCTGGTACAACGTTGGCTTCCTCCCTCGCTCTGGCAAATATCCCGCTGTCGATGTACTTGTCCGGGAAAATTTCTGACAGCGGTGGTATCGGTAGATTCTTGGTATCGGGACGATTCAGCATCGCCACCGAAAGCGCGTAGATGAACATCTCGGAATTAACGCGATCGCGACAGTAAACCGACACCGAAAGAAAGTCGTCGTACGTTCGCATACCTATAACACGTATTTATAACTGATCAGCAAAGGATTTGTTTAAAATCAAGTTGATGTGAGTAGAATAGTTCATGTGCCAATAATGTGTGTGATGCTCTTAATTAATCTAATTAATGAAAAATGAAATTAATTAATTATAACTACCTTTTCATGAAAGAAAAATTTAACGCTGGAGAGCCAAATATATATGTCTCTTTTTAAACTAACTCGCAAACTAAAGCGAAATTTATTAATTCAATATTAATTAATTCGGCAAATAAAATATATGAGTAAAACATAATATTGTGAATAAAATCGGAAACGAACCCAAGAAAATGTCGATAAGTCGTGCGGCTAATTTGCGATGCTTAGGGATGAAAAGAGAGAAGGGTTCTCGACGTCCGAGTTGAAGAGGGACGCTCAAATCAGGCAGACTGATCTGCTTCACTGAAATTTTCGACGCAGTATCATCGGCGAAACGGTTCACAATAGCGGGAGCATTCTGTTGCCGATCCCCAGGCTGTAAATTTGTTGAAAAAAGTTTATGCGCAAAAATAGAATCATCATTAACAAAGAAATAGTATTTTCTCGTTCAAAGTTTTCGGCCTTTGATCTCTCTTCATTTATGGACTTTTGCGTTACGTGAAGAAATAACTTTCATATTGCAGACTGTTTCTAAGAAAACCTACATTTGAGAAACAAGAACAAAGAGAATTAGACTTAAGAAAGAGTCTTTTATATACTTTGTGAAACTTTATTCGAAATCTTACGTTCTCGAAACGTCGCGTATTACAATCTAAGGTTTAATTTTAATAGATGCGATCGAGAGATTTCAAGTTCTATAAACTGCAGTGCAGCATCAAACTGAGATATCGTGGAATTTAATATTGATATACTCAATAAGACCATCAAGGATCGGGCTTACCAAGTAGTTAGCTGGTACATCGAAAGCGACTTTGTTCTCTCCCTTGGGCACGTACACCGGCTCCGCCGGTCGATCGAACAGGTACAGAATATCCGATTTCTTACTCCCCATGTTGACGGTCAACAAGTGTACGCACTAACTTGACAAGATCGACGATCACGCGATCGTGCGCTTCGGAAATCAGTAAACTTCGATAACGAAAACGAGAGTAAGGATCGCGACGTTGCTTCAGAGACAACGGCGGGTCTTTATGTAACCGGGCGTCTTGATGCCGGCATTTATAGGAGAAACACAGAGGATACGGCGGTCCGTCGACGATAAACGATCGTCGCCATCGAGAGTGACCGCAGGATCCGTCCATGAAATACGGGACAGTCTGTACGCGAGCCGGAAGGATAAGCGACGAAAACACCGCGCTTAAACCGAATCTTGTGTGTTTAGGTTTTCCTGTTTTTGGAGGAAATTGATAGTAAATTAACTGACAATGATTGCGCGAATCCGCAAATAGGTCGGCATTATTTTGTCAACAACTAATCGTAGCCTTTCTGATATATAAATGTTACACTTATTATATTAAGAAATAAAATATTTATTTAAACGCATTCCAGATTCGTGATACATGTCAATAAAATATGTAATATAGGTATAACGTTCGAAGTATGACATCAATCGCAATGGGCTAATTATTTACATATTGATATTAAACGTTATTACTTATGTATACAATGCGAACGATAATCTGCGACATATGGTGATTATAACGATTATTGACATATGCAGCCGTTCAATGTAACGTAATTTAATCCGTTTAAATAATGAATGAGTTTCTAGTGTTAATGAACCATTTCAATCGATCTCTATACATATAACTGATAATAATATATTTTACTAAGAATTCAACAAAAATTCTTTAAATTTTGCATTAAAACCGTAAGGTCGATAAGCCGATAGGGAAGAAAAGGAATTTTGTTTTGAATTCAATTACGCCATAATCCAGATATGTGCAAGTGCTCTTTATTGACTGTGCTTTTACATTTTGTTCGTTTCACTCGAAAGCCTCTACCCTCTCGTCACGCCGATATGTTTCTCGTGAAAAGAAATGATTCCACGCACTTACAGCCGCAAATACTAAAAATACTAAACTGGGATTGTACGGAAATATTAATTATTATATCATACGATATGTGTAAGAAGTTGGATAATATATATATACTTAGGGACATCAAAAATTATTTTCAAGATATATCGGGCATCGTAAAGAGAAGGAACGTTATTACGAAGCTATGAACGCTGGAATCTAAACTGAGAAAAATATCGTTTCTTTCAACGCCGGAACGTTTCCGAGTTATAAATAAATGACAGTTTCAATATATTTTATATTTAATACATAGAATCTTTATATAATAGGCAGAACAAAGTAACTAATGAAATTTATATACGAGGCAGAATATCTCTGATCTTATAAATCCTCTGTCTTATATGGAAGATATTATGATAGTCACGTGTTATTAATAAAATACAATTATTTATGATTATAATAATGATAAAATTCTTTTTATCCGCTCGCTACGAATATATATATATTTTTTATTTCTATCCGACAAACGCGTACAATATATTAGATTGGATGAAATCTGAAGGGAAGGAAATGATGAAGAAAAATAATAAATTAACGCAACATGGGTATCATCAACACTCGTTCCTGCGACATTATCTCCCCGAGCGTCGCCGCCCAACAATTTATTAATTCACAATCTCTGTGCGTAAGTCATAATTCTAACATCGCTGATATCGATTTTCGCGATTCTCACCAAAGGGAATCAGTAAGATATTTACTCCTCTCCCGAAGGACGTTTCGCAAGCTTGCGCTAATGATAAAATCAATATGATAATTATCGGGATAATCTAGGCAATGGGTCCGTACGATTGCTACGTCCACTCGAGGTAAAAGAAGGGGAAAAAAGAGCGAAAGAAGTTAGACTAGGTTTGTATTCCACGTTCTAGCTTTAGCACTCCCAGAAAATTTAGCGTAGAAAAAGTTCCGAAGGTAACTAAATAAATAAGAAGCGTAACGATTAGCGTAAACGTAAACGATGCAAAAGAGAATTAAATATAAAAGATAACGAAACCGTTGAGCAGTAGGGGAGACTGGGGCTGGTTGTTACACGGGTAAAATGTACAAGGTT